ACTCAGCCTCTGGCTGCGGAGCTGTGTCGGCGAAAGCGCGCTTGACAGGTGACGAGCGTGTGGCGCGCTTGGTTGGTGAGACTGATCGAGTGCGTGGCTTGGTGGGAGACACGGAGGCTGCGCGGCGAGAAGTTCGCGTCTTGGTGGGCGAGGGCTCGGCCGGTGCTGGCGCCTCTTGCTCTTCGGCGGCCGCCTCGATCTCCTCGTGAGGTGCTGGCACCTCCTGCTCGTCAGCAACCACATCGGTCTCCTCGTGAGTCGGCTCGGGCGAAGCGGCTACAGCCACATCCTCGATCTGTGCATCATCGACGGGGGCAGCCTCTGGCTCGATGGCGGCGTCAGCTGTTGACTCGGCGTCCTCAGCCTCTGCGTGGACCTCCTGGGACTCGGCATCTACCTGGGTCACCTCCGAATCGACCAATGCCTGTGCGATCACTTCGTTTTGGGCGTCCATGGCGGCGGCATCGAACATGGTGACGTGCAGCTCTGCCTCAAATGCGGGCTGCATCTCGGCGACGGGCGTCGGCAGGGGAGTCACGGCAGGCGTAGCCAAGTCAGGCATCGATGGCAGCGCTCTTGGAGTCGCCGGCGTGGCGAGGGGAGTAGAAGGAGCCGCGATGGTCGCGACTGGCACCAGCACTTCGGCTGCCTCGCTGCGTCGTACACTGCGGCGCGGCTTGGACGGGCTTGCTGCGAGCGCGGCCTTCGCAGGCGAGCGCTTGGACGGCGAGAGGATCGCGCTGAACTCTGGATTGGCGGCACGCATTCGCTCGCCGAGCACGCCGTATTGCGGCGTCTTTTCGGGGCTGGGCTGCAGCATCGAGGCAAGGCCGTCCATGTTGGGAGTGCCTGGTGCGGCAGATGCAGCAGAGAAGAGGTGGCGCATCGAGTTAAGTGCCGCGGGAGTCTGCGGGACTGCAGGCAGCGATGCGGCGCTCTCCGTCACCGGGCGTTCGGGGCTCGACTGATTCCTAGAGGTGATCTGCACCACTTCCTCTTGTGTGAGCTCCTCCTCCTCCTCGTCGTCGTCCTGCTCGTCGTCAGTGAGCTCCTCTTGCTCAGCGGTGAACATGTCGTTGAGCGCCTCTGCGATCCTGTCCGACTCGGGCTCGGCCGCGCCGTCGTGCACGAGGTCAAAGCCCATCGACAGCTCGGTGGCCGGCAGCCCGACGTCCGAGACTCGCACCACCTTCCTGCTCTTGGACGGCGATGAGCTGCTGGCATCGACGGCCGTGTCGCGCGTCTTTTCGTGCACGATGCGCTCGCCTGCACCGCTGATCTGCAGACGCACAAGCGCCGCGCGCGCCGAGGGCTGGGAACCGCTTGCGCCCGCCGGCGGCATCGAGATGCGCCGCGACTGTGTCTTGGACGCAGGCTGTGGCGTAGCGAATTGCGGGAGCGCCGAGACTTTGACGGGGCTAAAGCTGTACACGCGTGGCTTCTGCGGCGAGAGCGAGCTGACCGAGAGGCTCTGGTCCACTTCGTCCTCGTCCTCGTCCGAGTCTCGCCAGGCCCCTTCGGGCGCTTCCTCGACAAGCGCGGGATCGAGCAGCGATTCAAAGTCGTTCTCGTTCTCTCCGGCAGCCGAGACGTCTTCGAAAGAGGCGGAAGCAGTGAGACCCTCGGGCTGCTGCAGATCGACCATGCCAGAGAGGCTCGAAGGCATCGACATGGACTTGGACAGGCACGACGCGCCGGGTCCGGCGGGGGACGGCGGCGGGGGAGGGAGGAAAAGGCGATCGGTGTACGCCTCGCTGGAGCGCAGAAGCGTTTGTGTACGTAGAGACACCCTGCGCTTAGTGGAGAGACTGAGCCGCGGGCGTCGAGGCAGCGGCGTGAGACCGACAAAGTGCTGCTTCTTGACGGGTGAGGGCGTCTTGCTGATGCCGAGCCTCATGTGCTTGGACGCAACACGGCGAGCGCTGGGGCTCGATGCGACCACCGAAGCTTGCTCCTCTTCCGGCTCGACGTCTGATGCCTCCGAGAAGTGCCCAGCTGCCTCCTCGCTCTCCGGCTCCTCTGACGATTCCACGGGATCGACGGGCTCGACGGGCTCGACTGGCTCGCTGGGCTCGGTGCGCTCCTCGGCGTAGAAGCCGAGGCTCATGCCCTTGAAGGGACCGGCTCGTCCAAAGAAGCTGCTGCGACGCTTTGCGCGCTTCGGGCTGCCGCTTTTGCTGGGCGAGCCAGCAGGGGTGTGGTCGCTGCTCGCGCTGGGCGGAGGAATGTTTTCCGCGTCCTCAGCAGCGTCGATCGAGCTCATCGGCAAGTCTTCAGAGGCGGTGTCAGCCTTCGGCTCGCCTTGAGCCTGCGTGACTGCAGCCTCAGCCTCCTGCTCTAGCTCCTCGACAATGACAATGTCTTCCTCCGACTCGTCGTGCTGAGCTTCTTCCTCGACATGCTGCTCGTCGACGTGGTCGCTGTCGCTGCGGAAGCTGCCGTCGTGCTCCTCGGACATGGCTTCGAGGGGTGGCATCATCCTCATCTGCTTGACGGGGCTGAGCCTGCCCGAGTAGGAGTTGGCGTAGAGGCTGAAGCTGACCTGCTTGGGTGGGGCGGTCTTGGGCTCGGCAGCTGTGATGCGGCTCTTGAGCGGGGTGGCGAACAAGCCGGTGGTGGATGTGGATGAAGAGAGGCTCTGACGGCCCGACTTTTTGGCCTTGGAGGGGCTGACGTTGGCGGACTGCATGAAGCGCTGGAGGCCGTTGGCCCTGCGTGCCTCCCTGTCGGTGTTGTCAGCGTTGCGGGACTTTGTAGGCGATGCTGCTTTGCGAGACGCGCGAGCCGGTGTGTCGATCTGAGCCGCATTGACCAGACTCATCCTGAGGCGCCTTCGCGGGCCGGCTGGAGTGGTAGGCGCTTCCGCCGATGGCTTGGCTCCCTTGACTGGCGAGGCGAACAGTTTGGCCGACTGCTTGGCTGTGTCCACATCAGTGGTCTCGGGGAGTTTGAAGAGGAAGGATCGCTTGGCAATGACGATCGAGTCGCCCGAATGGAGCTGGTACGTGCCTTGGCCACGGGGAGAAGGGAGCGCCTGGACGCCGTTGAGGAGCACGCCGTTTGCACCGAGCACCTGAAGGAAAGCAGCGTTGCCCTCGGGTGCGGCCTGGATCTCGATTTCGATCGTGCAGTGGATCCTGCTGACGTCGCTTGCGAGGAAGCGGACGTCGTTCTCGATGGATCTACCGAGGGTGGTTTTGAGGTTCTGGATGGGGAAGGTCTCTTTCTGACGGCCCTTCTTATCGAGCAGGACGAGGAAGGCGAACACTGGATCCGATTGCACCTCGCCGTGAGCCGCCGACGACGAGTGCTTGGTGGGCGACTGGACCGCGCTCGATGTGGGTGGCTCGAATGAGTCCTTGACGGGTGAGGATGGCCGAGATGAAGAGAAGAAGTTGGTGAAGCTGTTTGACCTGCGCAGGGGCACAAAGGTGTTTGGCTTGTTGGATGGCGACAGCACTCCAGCAGGAACACCACTTGAGCCCATGTCGGTTTGAGAGGTGCTTGGGCTCATGCCGAACGACCTGCGGAGCGTGTTGAGCATGGTGAGCGGCTAAGTCTGCGGATGCTCGATGATGCGATGGCGCTGGCTGTGGTTGTGTACGACGAGCCTCAGTGGACCATGCGTGGGTAAGCGTCGGTCAAGGCGGAGCTGTCGATGCAGCGCTGTGTAGACGCCGCGGGTATGTGTGAAGCCGAGATGAAGTTGAGGTGTGAGTGTCGAGAGGCAAGTTGAAGCTGGCGTGCGGATCCGACTTGAGCTCTGCCCCGGGACTTGGACTTTGGAGAGTGACTGCCAGGAGAGCGTGTGAGCGCGAGAGGCAGCCCGATGCTTGCCTGAAAGCGGCCTCTCTCCGACTTCCGCCTCCGCGCTCTGCACCGTGTGGAGCGCTCGGCCCAAAAGCGGAACTGAATGCTGAGTGAGGCGCGCGCCGCCTGCAAACAAACAGCCGTCCAACGCCCTGTCTGCGCGTGGACCCTGGCGGCTCTGCGCGAGGCTATCACGTGATGTGCGAAATTTTAGAACTCTAACAATTCAAACAAATCCGATGTCGTGTGTTGGAGCCTCATCCTCCACACCGGGGCAGCAGCGGTGGCTACCCGCATGGACCACTTCCGCCCGCACCTGCCAACCGGGGAAAAAAGGTCAAAGACGAGAGGCCGAGAAGCATCCCTTGCGGCTCTCCGTCCATCATCTCTCTCTCTCCGTCCATCATCTCTCTCTCTCTCTCTCTGTCTGTTTGTCTCGCTCCAGCGCGCTCGCCCACCATTCTCGCCTTCGCTCCCACCCGCGCACTCTTCAAGATGGCCGCCAAGACCGACGCCAACTGCATCTTCTGCAAGATCATCGCCGGCCAGATTCCGTCGCTCAAGCTGTACGACTCGGACAAGACCTACGCCTTTCTTGGTGAGTTGCATGCGTCTTTACTTCTGCCATTCCGATATCACTGACATTGGCGTTTCGGACAGACATTGGACCCATCTCGGAGGGCCATGCGCTGGTGATCCCCAAGTACCACGGTGCCAAGCTGCACGATGTGCCAGACGAGCACCTGACCGAGCTGCTTCCCGTGGCCAAGAAGATCGCCATCGCAACGGGCGCAGACCAGTACAACATCTTGCAGAACAACGGCCGCATGGCGCACCAGATGGTCGACCACGTTCACTGTAAGTGCCGCCTCTCAATTCGAGCCCTCGGAGCTGCAGCTCAGTCTAACTCCTTGCTTCATCTTGATGATTGAATGAACAATAGTCCACGTCATCCCCAAGCCAGACGAGAAGCAGGGTCTTGGTGTCGGTTGGCCCGCTACGCAACCTGCCAAGGAGGAGCTGTCCAAGCTGCACGACACGATCAAGGGCCGTCTGGAGAAGCTCTAAACACGTTTCCTTCTGTAGCCGCAATACACAGATTTGCTGACAGTTTTGCACGGTCGATAAGATGCGATTCGGGATGGCGGCTCCGGGTGTTCATGCGAGTGTACACTGGCAAGGGGGAGAGATTAGGCAGTGCGGTAGATGAGATGGACGCCGCTGTCCGTATCGACGATGCTGCTGAGCTCGCCCACCTTGAGACCGAAAGCGGCGTCTTCGAATGGCTTTTGCATCTGGCCGCGCTGGAAGAAGCCCAGATCACCTCCGGCGCGTGCGGAAGAGCAGTCCCTACTCGCAAAGCATCCCGAAAAGAGCAAAGTCAGTGTGGTGCGGGCGCCAATGTTGCGGGGCGAACGACACTTACGAGTGCACACTGGCGAGCGAGGCAAAGTTGTCCTTGGCGGGATCCTGCTTGAGTTGCTGCTCAAACTTCTTGAGCTGTTCAATCGCATCCTCCCTCGAGCGCGTGATGTTGGCCTACGCACGATGCCGATCGCAACAGTGGTTAGCTCTACACATTGCGCGTTGCTGAGTGGGACAGCGACTCACCTCTTTCCACGAGCTGGGTCTTCGGGAACCAGCATGCTTGATGAGCAGATGGCTGGCGCGCACCTTGTCGGGCTTCTCGGGTGCGCCCGGAGCATTGGCAGGGTCGAGGTACTGTGCGCCTGGAAGCGATCGGATCGACTCGTCCGTATGGCCCTCTGGAATCTCCCATGTGGACTGCTGCGTCACAGGGTCGTAGAAGTACGGCAGTCGACGCGAGTTGCTGAAGCGAATCTCCCACTGAGACTGTCGTACACCGTACTCAGCGTCTACACGCGTGATTCTTCCTGGATCTGAGCAGACAGACTTACCGACATGGCTGTGTGCTTGCTTGCTTGCTGGCTGCTACGCTGAGGTGATCGTGTTGAGCATCCAGGTGGAAGGTCGAGCCGTTACTTTGTCGAATCGAGGGCAATCGACTCTTCGCTGCCGGCGACTGCAGCCGTCGTTCTGCCAGTTGGACCGAGCGCGCCAGAAATCATGTTCAGTCGTGTACAGTGTAACAAAATGGCTCTCCAAGAACCGTCGATTTCGAACCCATTTTTTTCGAGCGCATTTTGAAGTCCTTTTCTTTTTCCCTGTCTATTCAGGGTCGGGCATGGCTGAAAAAAGAGGCGCAGGAACCTTGGAATTGCAGGGCACGCAGGGCGGGATGGAGCCGAGCGGGCTCGGTTGAGCTTTGGCGAGCTGTTTGCAGAGAGCATGGCCGCCGCCGCTGCTGCCGCCGATCTATCAGCTGGCTGGCTGCTCTTTGCCACGAACAAAAGCAGCAGTGGGCGAGCAACAGATGGCTCTGGAAGACAAGCCAATGCGACAGACTCGCATTGAAGCCCGCCACGTGTGCCAGCGCAGAATAAGCGTTGAACCGCTCCTCTGGTCCTCGCCCTGTCGGTCAGCCCCACTGCAGATGACTGAATCACACCCTCGAGAGCGTGCGGCGTTTGGTCCTGCATCGCATTATTATACAACGGCTCGGCATGGCGTGGACAACGCAGGATCAATTGGGTGGCTGCGATGATGGCGCCATCGCCGATGGGCAGCAGCGTCCCGCGGGATCGTCTCGAGGGAAGGGCCAAGGCAGGGCGAGAGTCCAAAACCCAAACCTGCAGGTCTCTGCAGGCGAGCACGAGGATCGACGGATCTTCCCACGGGCAGCTGCCCACGCCACAGTAAGCTCCGGTGCCGTCTCAACCGCGCAAAACGCTCGTCGCAGCTCGGGCCCTCAGTTTGAGCGTGGGACGGATTGCCTTGAGATCCGGATCTGTTGCAACATCGGAAAGCAGCTCGGACTGTGCCGAGCAAGACGAGCAGGAAAAGCCAAGAGGCACACTTATGGGGTCCGGAGGAAAAGGAAAAAGAGCGGATCGGAGTTGAAAGCTGAGAGTCGCTCCACCCCGAGAGAGAGTGAGGCGGCGGGGCACGCGAGCAGCCATGCTTCTGCCGACAAAAAAGTCCTGCAAGCGAGGGCACCCCGAGACAGAAGACGAGGAAAAAAAGGGTTCGGTCGGCCATGCCGAGAGCCATGCACCCATATGGGTTTGGTTGTGCATATCTGCACGGAGCCTGCATCAGCGCAGTCACAGTCACAGTCTCTCACACACACACTCACACTCACAGGCACAGGCACCCTCACTCATCGCATCGGCACGACCGAGCAAACTTTGGCCGGCACAGACAACCTTGAGCTGCTGCGAGCGTTGCGAGATGGTCGAGACTGCTTTGGCAGCGGCGTGGGAAGCCAGGGCCCTTTGTCGCCGATAGGGAGAGAGAAAGAGGAAACGATGCGCATGATTGGGGGTGTGGATTTACGCTGCAAGCTCTCGTCTCCGCGTTGCTGAGCCGCGGCCTCTCCGCCATGCCGATACTGAACGGCTCTGGATCCGTAGCCGCTTCGAGCTCCGACAGCATGGACGTCTGCCAGCCGACTTGCTGATCCCTGTCGATCCCCGACTCCGCCTTTCCACACAACAGCTGCGCTCACTCTGCTCTTGGTTGCTCTCGGTTGCCAAGCCAGGCCAAGCCAGGCCAAGCCAGCGTCCAAAGCTTCCCAGCGCCACCCATGCCTCGCAACTCTCGACCACCACAAACTCCACTCCCCGGCTCTCGCAATCTACTGGATCACACCCATGCTCGTCACCGCTTGCCTTCAAGCCACACGCCCGGCGTAGCCTCCTTGGCCACCATAAAGGGATCGACACACCGCTCGCGCCCGCATACAACCCACACATCCCAGCGGCTGCATACATTCATACATCAGACCGCACGCCCATCCCGCCGCTTCCGCTCAAATCGACTTCATTTGCGGGACCAGGACCACACACTAGGTGCTCGAGCCAGCAAGGACATCCCACTCTCACCTCTCTCGATTCCGGGGAGCTGAGATCCACCACCATCTCGCTTCCGCAGCACCTTCGAAGCGCACGTACATCTGTCTGCAATTCCTGCGATCCTTCAGAGCGGAGCGCTCGCACATTTTCCTCGCCCTTTGTCGTCCCGGAGCTCAAACAAAGCAGCTACGATCAGATTCGAACAAGACGACGCACAGATCGCGGTTCGACTGCAGCCCCGCCAGACGGACCGTGCTCCTGCCGCTGCTACCGACGCCCAGTGCAGAGCATACACACGCCGCATGCACCCAGCGCTACGCCCCTTTCGTAAATTTGCGTCTCGGGCCACACTCAAGCGCGCCGGCCCTGCTCACTTTTTCTTGTGATCAGCGAGCTGCGTAACCGAAGCCATGGCGCAGCTGCCTCATCATCCGCCCTCGTACTCGAACTCGAACTATCCCACACCACCGCACACACTCCATTCAGCCCTGCCTTCGCTCCGTCAACCTTCTTGCGCACCAGGCACAGCCGCATGCTTCAAACCGCTCCCTTCCGTACCCAACGACGTCGATGCGGATGACGACGGCCCGGAACTCGTGTTTCACCGACCTTCCCTCGCTAACGACGTCGACGCTCCCATCGAGTCCGATCTCTCGAGCCCATCCGCCAGCAGCACCGCCTCGTCGTCCATGCAGACCGACTGGCACGAGACCTCGCTCCGCAACCACGTCGCCAAACTCCCCATCGAATATGCCGACTTTGACCTCTCGCAGACCGAGCAGCCCAGCGTCTTTGGCCTCCGACGCCGCATCGTAGCCGCCGCACTCGACCACGTCGCCGAGCGACCCGACCCTGCATCCGACAAGCGACATCAGGCGCGCCAATTCCAAGAGCAGGGACTGGGCGACTGGCTCGCCGCGCACACCCCTACCACCAACCAATGGAAGGACAGGATCCTGCGCAAAAAGAAGTCGCTCGGCTTTCGACACGCCAAATCGGCCAAGGCCGCACAAACGAACGCCGGCTCGATCCACGACTCGATGCTCGGCACGACATCG